GAAACAGTTGAAGTTAGACTTCAGGTACATACCCTGTTGTACTGCAGTAATGAGGACCTATGCTGTTGAGATGGGCCCACACAAGTCTGTGCAGGGGGAAAGGCTCTCAAAGTCCGTGGATCTCTCATGCCTGTGCCTAGACAAAGGAGCTTTGCCTACCCTGAGTTCCTGGCTTAGGAGAGCCGGCTGATTATTTTTTCCCATTTGTTAATTTGTTCACTCTCCAAGGCCAGGAGAATGGTTCAGGGCGTGTGACGGGTCCTACTTCTGGCCCAGGGGACTCGGCAACTGCTGAAGCCGGTCCAGGACCCGGTGCAGAGCAGGGAGTGGGGAGGTAAATGGGGGAGAGGTTTTTCCATAAGGAGGGTGTTTTTGATCTGCGTGGTAGACCGGACACAAGTACTTATCTTTTGCCGATCAAGGGCTGCTTCTCACTGGTTCTGGATGGCCGAGTAAACTCTCTGCTTCTAGGTCTCTCCCAGTGTGGGAAATGCCTCAGGAGCGTCGCTTGCCTGCCTGCCTGCCTCATCACTCACGAGCGAGCTGCTCTGGCCTGAAGGGCTCAGGCTCTTGCCAGGTCAGGTCTGGCAACTCCTCGCTGTTTCCGAACTGCCTCTCCCTTCTCCTGCCACTCAGTCTGGTTCCTCAACTTTGCCTTTGATGTTCAGGGCTCCTAGATTGTCATATAAAATCAGTTCACTTGTTCTTCTGGGTCTTTGTTGTAAGAGGAAATACCAGAAGAATACCAGAAGTGTCTGACTACTCTGCCATTTTGGCCCTGCCTCTGATCAATATATTTCATAATTTAAAATTCTGTAAAGGTAGAGTTATTACCTCACAGTATGTTCTCAGGAAATGTTAGTTTCCCTTCTCTCTACACCACCATTTTGGTTTTTCTTATGAATTTGTTTATATATTTGTTCAGAGAGCGTTTCTAAAATGGCTTAAACCCAGAAGGGTTTTCTTATATAAAAGAAGTTGGGAGTAGGCTTTGCAGGGCTGATATGATAGATTCATATCTCATCAGGGACCCAGGCATTTTCTGTATTTCTGCTCTAATGAACTGGTTTCCATCCTCAAGGTCCCCTCATGGTCCAAGATGACTGTTTGAACTCCAGCCTTTGCATCTGAATTCCAGCAGCAAGAGGGAAGAAGGATAAAAAAAAGGGCCAGCCACTGGCCTTTTAAGGAGGCTTCCCAGAAGTTCTACCCAACACTTCAGATAACTTCTTATTGGCCAGAATTTAGTTACATAGCTAGATGTTGCTGAAAGGGAGGCTGGAAAATGTCGTCTTTTTAGCTGGATGCATTGTCCAAGATTTGTAACTAAGAAAGAAGAAGAAAATTCATAATAGGTAGCAACTAAGATTGTCTGTTACCAGCCGGAACCTGGAAGTTACTGGCTTTTAAATTGTAGTATTATTTTCATTTTAAAGTGCTTTCATAAATTTGTTACGGACCGAGTATATTAAAACTCATGAGTGCTGTCTTCAGAATCAGTGAGGTGTAAATTTGGGGTGACTATGTTATTGAATAAACAGAGTCATATTATATCTTTTTTCAGAGTGAAAAACATGCTCAAAATGTTAGGTTTTATTTTCAAATGCATGGGGAACAATTTGAAGTGCCTGATAAGCAAATGAAGATGCATGCTATGAATTTTCAGGTGAGTGGTCTGTGTTGAGGTTGTAATTCTAAACTTTTGAGTTTTTGAATCTTTCTAACAAGACTGTGATTATTTCAGGTGCATGGGAGTGGAGTAGTGGACAGAAACAAATTTTGTGATCTTTGCAACATAGTTTTTAGCTCCCCAGTTGTTGCTCATTCTCACTATATGGGGGGAGTCCACGCTAAAAACATGAAGCAGTTAATGGGAGGACGTGATCAGATATCTCCATCAAGATTTCAGCCAGAAATGGGTAAGGTTCCATTCACCTCTTTATCTTCAGTAGAGGGGCTATCTATCATTTTTTCCATCTCTTCCATCTATTTTTTTATTGGGGAAGTTTTCACTCTGGGGCAGTAACTTGATTATTCTTCATCTGCCCAGTTAATTTCTGTGTCCTTATCATTTAATATGGAGCTTTTAATTACTAGCTGAATTTTAAGAAATGTTATGACCTCTCCCTTGCAATTTATTAAATCCAAATAAAAGCAAGTGATTTGCTATACTACTATAAAGGGACAACAGTACGTAGCTTAAGCTCTTCCAGCTCCTTCTTACTTCTTCCCCTTGACGTCTATCTAATTGTTTTTGCTTTAATACTTTCTAAAACATTATATTGTATCTGTGTTCAGACAGTGTCTTCACCATAATATGGTTATGGCTCTAGCATCTCCTAATGATAATTGTAAGGCACACACCCAAAAAAAGTTACTGGATCTCTTTCTAGCCTAACAGCCCATTCCTTTCTTCCTATGAGTATATATAGTAAAGATACCACCAGCATCATCAATCAGTAGTTATTGAGTACTTATTTTGTGCCACATCCCAAAGATAAAGAGAAATATAGAATGTGCCTCTTTCCTCCTTCCAGTGATACTCAGCCACCAGTACATATGAGAAATCTCACCCAAAGTTGCCTGAGATGTACATCCTGAAAAATCTAACCTGTATTTTGAAAAACTTATGTTCTGGAATGAAAAATAAGATAATTATGCCTCTGGATCAAATGATTTACCACATTCTTACTAGCCTTGACACCTTAGGAGTAAGGTTTTAATGCGTAGCATGGAAAATTTACCAATGTTAATTTCCAGCTTATAGTGGCAGCATCACCCAGCAAAGTCAGTGCCACAGGAAACATGGATAAACCTTGAAAACATTATGCTAAATGAAATTAGTTACAAAAGGAGACAAATACTATATGATATCACTTATGTGAAATCAACAAATATATAGAAACCGAAATTATTAGTGGTTACCGGGGTTGGGAGGGAGAGGCAAAGAGGGAGTTTTTGCTTAGTGGGCAGTGAGTTTATGTTAATAGTGGTGTAATAATTTGAAAAAGGATGGTGATAATCGTTGCACAACTTGAAGAGTGTAATCAATGTCACTGAATTATACATACAGAAATTGTTGAGAAAAGAGAAAAAAGTTCTTGTTTTATTAATAAATAAAACCATAATTATTTTTTAACTGTATTCTCTCTAAGTTTTGTATGTTTGTTTTTCTACCTGTCATTCTAATGAGGGACATGATCAATGTGTCCTACAGGAGAAAGCATCTTGTAAAGCCTTGTCTTCAGTCCCCAAAATTCATTGATTTCGGCTCAGAGATGAAAGAGCTCTGAAATGATTGCGATTATGAAGGCATGCATAATTTTACAGCCTTAACAAACTATGTAAATTTTATTGTGATATAAACATCACAAATCTAGACTAAATAAGTGACTTACTATGCTACTCAAGAAAGAAACCAACTTACAAGTTGATACCATCTGTTTCATTTTCACTAATTTTGAGAAGCATCCTAAAATAGCTCTTGAGCTTTCAATGATTCTTCAAATGAATATAATTAGGCAATGCCTGATGCTGAACATTCCTTCCTTTGCATGTCTCTGTTGGAGAAATTTGGTGACAAACTTGTATTCAAACTTTCATTCTCACTGAAGGAAATATTTTTTATTTTAGTACCTTTATCCAACAGCCCTTTGGAAAAAGTCCAAAGATAGTGTATTTTTAAATAATTCTAAATTTCCCTAATAATTTATAATGAATATAACTCTACTATCTGGACAAATGTTTATCACTTCTCATTATGACTATTTCAGCAGGTGTGCCTATTACTGCTTCTGCAGGGCCAACCTTCATGAAGCCCTTTGCTGTCAAGCCTCCTCCAGGTGAGATTAAAGACAAGACTATGCTTTCCTCTCTGAGCAGTGCTTTGGATTTGAATAATCCAAACAAATATTGCAAGCTCTGTCCTGCATCCTTTAATAGTCCATTAATGGCCCAACAACATTATGTTGGGAAAAAGCACAAAAGAAATGAAGCTAGGAAGAAGTATATAGACAAGATAAGAGAACAGCTTTTTCCCGCAGAATCAAATGCAAATGCTAAACAGTAAAAATAACCCAAATCTCTTTCATAGGAACTTTATATTTTATAAAGCATACTACCTTATTTATATGCCATTTTATTCTCATTGAATGAAAGGTTGGTATTATTCATGGAATCATGGAATTTTAGATAAGTAAAGACTTTAGAAGGCACCCTGGTGGCGCAAGTGGTTAAGTACTTGGCTGCTAACCAAAAGGTAGACGATTCAAACCCACCAGCCTCTCTGTGGGAAAAAGATGTGGCAGTCTGCTTCCATTAAGATTTACAGCCTTGGAAACCCTATGGGGCAGTTCTACTCTGTCCTATAGGTTTGCTTGGAGTTGGAATCAACTCAGCGACAATGGGTTTGTTTTTTTTTTGTCTTTGTTTGTTTTGGTTTAAGGATTTTAGAGTCGATCTAGTTCTATCTGTTCACTTTCTGTAAAATGAGACCCAGAGAGGTTTACATTACTCCTGTTAATTACAGAACTAAATATAGGTATTCTCATGGTACCGTTTTATCATAGGTACACAAGGTAGTATTTTAAATGCGTATCCTGTGGTTATATCATTCAGTGAATAAGGATGATTTAAGTGTCTGTTGGGTACGTGTCTAGTCATACATGGGAATACAAATAAGGATATGCCTTTTGCCCTCAAAGAACTAGTGTATAAACTAGTTGAGTTAATAACTCTTCATTGTAAGAGGCTACAGACATGGATTTTTGTGTACAGTTTTTAGGTAATCAGAGGAATGAAAAATCATGGTCAAGAAATTCTTCATAGAGGAAATATATGATTTAGATTGATAGAAATGAGAAAAGGAGAGACAGGCTTAACAAAGGTCTTGGAGCTAAGAAAGAGTGGCAAGAACTCAGGCACAATAGAGACTGACCCTGACTGGAGTAATCCACTTGCTTGTCTAACCTTTTTTTTTTTTCATTTTTCCCCCACAGACACCTCCTCACTACTAGTGTATTTTATTCCCCTTTCGTATTCTCTTTTCTACTTAATTATTTTCCTCTTTACTGTTATTTTTCATCTCTTTTCTTGCTAGATCTCTCTGCTTCATGTGAAAATGTTTCTTACTTCCTCCTTCTTGAACCTCTTTTCTTTGTCGTATGTGACTCCTTATGCCCTGGTTCTCCTCCTGTTTTTCTGTTTCTTTGTGGGCTCTTTTTTTTTTTTTTTTCCCATTACCTAAGTGTAGATATTCCTGTGGTTCCATTCTTGACCCACTGTTCTCACTCTACAAACATGATCTAAATCTATTCCCCTGGTTTCACCTATCATCTGTATGCTGATGATCTTTCTGTCAAGATTTAGACTCACATATCCAGTTGGCAGCTAAGCTGTTCACCTAGAGGTCTCATAGCCATTTCAAATGTAGTTTGTCGAAAACTGAACACATCTTCTCATCCCAAACCTGCACTTCCTCCAGTATTCTCTAACTCAGTTGAGATAGACAGTAATAAACAACTGTTCAAGTTAGAAACGTGCAATTAACTTGAATCCGCTACCCCCACCTTCACTTTCTATATCTAATGAAGCACCAAGCTGTGACTGCTTTACCTCCTGAATATTATTACCCCTTATCTCTAGCCTTGCTCCTCTCACACTAGTTCAGGGCCTCAACATCTTTCCTAGAGCTGCGCTACTCAGAGTATGCTTTATGGATCAGCAGCATCAGCACCACCTGGGAGTTTGTTAGAAGAAAAAGAATTTCAGGCTCCACCACAGACCTACTGAATCAGAATCTGCATTTTAACAATATCCCTAGGTGATTTGTACTCACATAATACATTTCGAGAAGCTTCATCCTAGGATATTACCACAGCCTCCTAACCACTCTACCTGCCCTCAGATCCACCCTCAGTGTAACCACTAGAATGTTTTACCTAAAGTACAAGTCTTTCTATGTCATTCCTCTGCTTAAAAATCCTTCATTGTTTTTCCGTTTTCTAAGAATAAAATCCAAGCTCCTTAGCTTCCTACCACCTTGTCCCTGCCTACCTTCTCTAGGCTTATCCTCTGCTAGTATAAGACCTCCCATGAACTATGTGGGTCAGTACTTACAAACTGTTTATGGTTTCCAGAAACCATTGCTCTTTTTCTTGTTTCTGTGTCCTATTCATGCTGTCCACTTTGCCTAGAATATCCTCATACTCTTCTTCTGGCTATCTATCTCCTGCTCATTCTTTAACATGCTGCTTCCCTGGAAGCCTTTTCACTTCCTTCAAAGCTAATCTTCTTTGCTCCCTTAACCTGCATATCTAATTCTCTCTCCATCTGTCTTTTTCACTAATAATAATGTGAGATCTTTGAAGGAAGGGACTTCATCTAATGAATCTGTGTTTCCAGTGCTGAAGATATAAACTGGCACAGAGTAGGCCTGCCTCAGTAGAGATTAGTTCAATATGTGAATCAGGGAACTACCAGGTCATCTTTATTTATTGAGTGCTTACCCTGTGTCTGTAGTATTTCAGTTTCCTACTTAGTAGTATTCAACATATCCCAAAACATTATATAGAGATCTGTGTTTTTCGCTAGGATTTTAAGGAATGCTTATTTAGGAAAGTATAGAAACAGAAGCAACAGGGCTTTTGGAAGTAAGGGTAGATGTTTAGGAAGATGAATGACAGAGTTCCGCTTATTAGGGTATTTTTGCTATTGCTGGGCTGAGGGTATCTGAAATAAGTAGCTTCTAGTTTAGTGACATTAGGTGAATTTGAATGAAGTCAGCTATGAGAAGTGTGTGCACTCTGGTCACTTCTGAGAGGAGGGCCATTTTAGTACTCTGGTCTGAAGTTTCAAGGCTATTAGAAAGAAGGAAACAGGATTTGGGTTAAATTCTCACCCTGGGTGTGGGCAAAATTTAATCTAGGCATTGAGGTCATTTTGCACTAGCCTCTGAAGCTAGAGCTCAAAGAATAATTTTTCAACCCTGCCTTAACTCTTCCATTTTGGAAGCAGTAAACATTTGAGGATTAAAAAATAGTTGCAGGATTTTTAATAGTGGTAAATTAGATAATGAGAATTTGAAAAAACAATGGTAACAGTAGAAGTCCATATTACAAGTGAGTAAATGGTAATACAAAACCAATTTAACATATACCATCTTAATTAATTCACTCTTCACCCGTTTTCCCTCTTCTTTCTGTCTCTGCCTTCCTCTCCATCTGCTATTTGTATATGTTCCTCCTCGTATCCTTCTCTTCTTCTTCATCATTCTCACTTATTTCTTCATGTCCCTCATCCAGCCCCAGATCTTATTAGCACAGGAATGGCTACCATAACGATATGGAACTAAAGTATGTATGTATTTTTTATTTATTGCATTTGTTTCATTTATCTTACTAATTACTTACCCCATTGTTGCACTTAGATGTCTTACCTTCACCTGAAACTCAACATATCTAAAACTGAATTAATAATCTTCTCTAAAATGAACTTGAATTTCCCAAGTTTTCTGTCTTTGCCAGTAGTACCACCATTTATTCAGCCACCCACACTTGAATCTTTGAGGACATCTTTGACTATTTAAATCTCTATATCCTATCCATCAGCAAGTCTTATCAAATCTTCTTAGAAATATTTCTCTTTTCTGTACCTTTCCATTGCATTTCCACTACCATCACCTCACCTTAATTCTAACAACCTTCTGGAAGGCTTTGCTTTTACCTTATGGTTCTTGTCACACTTCCTAGTAGCAAGATTTCCACCCTGGATCATTCTCATAATCTACCTTTTCTACTTCTAAATACAGGCTACTGAGTGCCACTATGAAAATTTATATAAGGTTAGAGATCGAGTGGAGTCCCTGGGTGGTGCAAACAGTTAATGCTCTCAGCTGCTAACTGAAAGGGTGGAGGTTCCAGAGACACATCGGAAGAAAGGCCTGGCGATCTACTTCCAAAAAATCAGCCATTGAAAACCCCGTGAAGCACAGTTCTACTCTGACACACATGGGGTAGCCATGAGTCAGAATTGACTCCACAGCAACTGGTGGTAGTGGTGGTACGGAGTTTTGGGTACCTCTACAGAGTCTTGGTATCTAACCTCATTTAGGTTTTAGTCTTACTTAATCCTTTTCCTTTTCCTGACTTTCCCCTCAGCAGAGATTTTAAACTTAGACCATTCTCTAAGACTCTCTTCTCCTGCCTTTCTTTCCCTCCTCACACTCTTCAGACAAGCTTCTTTCTTCAAGAAAAAATTAACCGTCAAATGCGGATTACCAAGTATTTTGCCTTAACCAAATCCTCCTTTAACCCTGAGTTCTCCTCCTTTGGTTTCTACATTCTCCCCTTCTTTTCTCAGCCAAGTTTTTTTTTTCCCAAGTGTGATCTCCTCTTACTGTCTTCACGTTTTATCCACTGCTCCTCAGCTCACTGTCATTTGTTGGAACACGTCCCCCAGCCCTCCATGCCACTACTCCACTAAAACTACTCCTCACAGGGTCATTAACAAAAAAAAAAAGCCCATTGCCATTGAGTTGATTCCAACTCATAGCGACTCTATAGGACAGAGTAGAACTGCCCCCATAGAGTTTCCAGGGAGCGCCTGGTGGATTCGAACTGCCAGCCTTTTGGTTAGCAGCCGAACTCTTAACCACTACACCACTAGGGTTTCCCACAGAGTCATAGTGACTTCTGAATTTCTGAATCCAATGGGCATATTTCAGTCCCTGCGCTGTTGGACCTCTCTACTGCATTTGACTCCATTTATCAATCTTCCTCTTTAAATATCTCTGCTTCCTTAGCTTCTTTGACACTACTCTTTCCTGTTCATCCTTACAACTCTGTCCTTTACTTCATGGCCTTTTCATGGACTTTTCCTCTCCCATCTTAGTTTAAAGAATGGCATTATCCAAGGTATTATAATTACGTTGCTCTTCTGTGTCCACCAATACATTGTCCTCAAGAGCTCTCATCCACTCTGATAGTTTTAACTACCTCCATGTGTTGACATTTCCAAAATCTCTCTGACCGCGCTTCTGTATTTCAGATTCCTATATCTAACTGTCTACTGGATATCTTTACATGGAAGTCCCATAGACACCTCAGGCTGTGTCCAAATAGTCATATTCACTATTGCATACTCCCCCACCCCTGAAACAACTCTTCTAAGTTCCAGTTTCAGTTTATGGGACCACTACCCACCCAACTGCCAAACTAGGATTCTAGGAGTTATTTTAGACTTCTCTAGGTTCTTCCCTCTCCTTTATCTCCCACAATCAGTCACTAAGTTTTTCTATTTTTAAAACTAGATATTTTTCCAATCTCCCTGCTCTTCTCTATCCCTACTATGACCTTTCTAGTCCATGCCCTCATCATCTCTTCGCTGGTCTGTTATATTTGCCTCAAAACTGTGATCTCTTTACTTCCAGGTTTGTGCCACTTAAATTCATCCTGCATATTGCAGCCAGAGGCGCGATCTATCTAAAACACACAATTGGCCATGTCACTTACTGTATAAACCACTTTGAGGTTTCCCAACCCACAGAATGAAGTCTAGGTTCTTTAGCATAACATATAAGCCTCTCTTTAATCTGACCCCTTTTTGCCTCTCCTGTCTCATCCCCTTATATTCTACTTTCCAGCAATTCCAAATTGCAAGAAGTTCCTGTAAACTTCTGTGCTTTTTTCATGCGTTTTTCTCAGCCTAAAATGGTCTGCTGAACCCTTCTCCTCAAGTTAACTATTTTTCATTCTTCCAAGTTTAGCTAAGGCATCATCTCTTCTAGTAGCCTTTTCCAGACCCAGGTATTGGGCTAAGTGCCTCTGCTTCTTTGCACTCCTGTATTCCTTATGCATACCTCTCTTACCTTTTAACAAATGAGAATGAAATCCTCTGTTCGTGTGTCTGTTTCCCACACTGGACTTGTGAGTAACCTGGCTGTTGTACTCATTTTGTACCCCTAGCATCTAGTGTAATGCTTGGTGCCACATAGGTGCTCAGGGTTTGTTGAACAGATTATTTGAATTGAACACATCATGCTCATTTCTGTCTCTGCCATACCTGATATTGTTCTCATCCCCTGAAATTGTTTTATCTACTTTCCTTACAATTCAAATCCTTCCTGTTCTCTAAGATCCATCACAAGTTCCCTCACTGCTCTAGTTCTCGGTATTCTCCCGTTTCTCTGATTTCCTGTAGGCTTTACTGTTCATTGACAATTACATCAATTATAACCCCTCAACTGAATTAGCCTCCTTGAGACAAGAGATTATATTTTATTCTTCAATATCCTTCTCTGTTTTATATTGTAATGGGTACATAGTTTTATCTCAGTTCATATTTACTAATTGTTTATTGAGAGACTGTGTGGTGTATGGAGATAAACGTAGATTGATTTCTAGATATGTTTGAAGTCACTTTCTCAGTCGAGCTTCAAGTTCCTCAGGTATAAAATAAAAATAATGGTACTTCACAGGATTGAATGAGGATGAAATAAATTAATATATACAGTACCTGTCATATAGTAGGTCCTCAACCAATGTTAGTTTTTTATGAAATGTTTTTGTTATCCTGTCAATTTAAAAACAAGTAAATTGGACATTTTCTATTTTTCTTCATAAGATAAATCCCACATTAAGTTGCATGTTTACTTAATGTAGCTCTCAATTGTTTTTTCCCCATTTAAGATATTAGACCAATGGTTCTCAACTGTGACTACACACTACAATCATACAGGGAACTTTTAGAAATACCAGTGCTCAGGCCATCCCTTAAATCAGTTGAATTAGAATCTATGGAACCTAGGCATCAGTGTTTCGTTTTCTCTGTTTTTAACTCCCCCAAGTGATTCCAATGTGGAGCTGAAATTGAGAACCACAATGTTAAACTAAAAAGACATGCGTTTTCCCAATCCATGTTTTGAAAAGAAAGACCTTAATCTGGGAAGTTATGAGATAGGGCTCTGATTAGAATAGTGGGCCCCCCAAATGTTAGGTTATGGAAAATTCTGAAAGGTACAAGATGCAAAGAAGCCTGCATTTCTGGGAGAACTCATAAATATGCAATCGTAGCAGGGCCAATGGCAGTGAAGCTGGACAGGGTCAAGGAGCAGACTCTTGAGATAGGAGAATGGAGAGATTGAGAAACATGGTGGAAGCAGGTTCTAGGAGGATTAAACCAGGAATTCTGACCTTGGGGCCAATGATAGGCTTCATATCTCCAAAGAAAGGGTTTACATAATTATATATTATTTTCTGAGAGGTCTATATCCTAGGAAAAAATCAAGGACATTATTATGTAAAAAAGCCAAGAGCTAAAGTGATAATTATCAGACCATACTTCTAGAACTGTCTCTGGCTCCTACAGCTCCTTCAAACCCCTATATTACCTATATTAGAATCTTGTTTCTGATGTCATTTGTGGAGAAAGAATGGAGGAACTGAGAGAACACTATATACAGTGTACTTTATAATTATAAGCACTAAACAAATACTACGTAAAAGTCTCTGAACTATAGTCTAAGTTTATCATCAAATGAAGATCATTTGCTTTATTATGTAGGCAGTGTTTCTCAATCATGGCTTCTTCATAGTAAAATCATCTGGCAAGCTTTTAGAAAGTACAAAAGCCTAGTTCTACACCTGGAGATTCTGATTTAATTCTTCTGATATAGAGCCGCAAGATGAGTATTTTTAAAGTTTGCCACATGATTCTAGCATGAGAACCACTAATCTCTGGGAAACCACGACTCTTGCTTCTCTTGCATAACTTTGGCATCCTCAAAATGTATGGTATTGGCCAGGCTAATCTAAGCCTTAGTTTCTACACTCATAAAATAAGGATAATAATAATTTCCTTTAAAAGGCTTGTTGTGAGGTTGCAGAGTCCTGGGTTTAATCCTTAGCTTTATGGGAAGTCCAGAATCTTCAGAGTTAATCAGTCTCAAATCAGGGCCTCACTAACCACAAACAAACTTGGAAGAGGCTGATAACCAAAGAACTGGGAAAGTATACCCTTTATATTTCCTCCACATTTTCTCATAATAAATCACCTGGGGGTACTTGTTAAAAATACAAATTCCCTGTCCCTACCCCAGACAAAGTGAATCATAGTCTCCAGGGGAGGGATCTGGGGAGCTATATTTTTAACTAATATCCCAAATGATTCTTATCAAAGAAGCCTGGGAAACACTGTAGTTTAAATTAAAGTGTTGTCATTCTGGTGACCCTATAGGACAGAGTAGAACTGCCCCATAGGGTTTCCAAGGAGCGGATGGTGGATTTGAACTGACCACCTTTTGGTTAACAGCCAAGCTCTTAACTACTGCGGCACCAGAGCTTCTGATTTATAGTAGGAGGAGACATATATTTCCAGTTTTCAGGTTTCTGTGTCTGCCATCCAAGGAATCCTCTTCTTGGTATCAAAGAATGTGGGAAAACAAATTATCATCAGAATGCGACTCAGTGAACATGAATTCAGAGCATAGAAGGGAGGGTAGTTTTAAGTAATCATTCATTCACATGTTGGTAAAACCTGATGAGCTCTCCTGGGCCCACCATAGAGTATATCTCACGAATAAGCACAGTTCTCATGTTTTTCAAAGTCACCATCTTTCTTTCCTTTTGACAGGAGTCTCCTTTTTCTGTGAATAGCCCTTGTTTGGAAAAGACCAATACATTTGGTAATGTTTAAGTCAATGGCCTTTAAATTATTAGACTGCTCTTTTATTTAAAAGATGACGACCTTGGTTGTCCCTAAAATATCCTCAGCCATCACTTTATTGTCTCTTCCTTAGGGTGAAATTATTTTTATATTTGGCTTATGAAATTTTTTAATTTGTTTCTTCTGACCAAAGAGAAAGTGGAAGGATGATGAGATTAAGAAATTAAAAATTGATCCCCTGCTTCCAGTTCTTCCTAAGAAGCAGGATATGGAGGTAGCTGGTATATGGTTCTTATTTTATAGTTTTTGACTCTTTTGAAGTGGTAACTAGTAGTTTTGCTTTAGAATTTGCTTTCAGCTTTTATCCTGAGAGTGGGGCTCACTGAATCTCTCTCCTTTCTAAAACCACGTCTGTCTGTGGAAATTACTTTGGGTGAACTAATGAATTACAGTGATTTCTAGTAAGAGAGTAAAAATTTGCTTTTATTTGTCTTTATTGCTCACTGAATCTTCTTTCTAAAACCATGTCTGTCTGTGGAAATTACTTTGGGTAAACTAATGAACTACAGTGATTTCTAGTAAGAGAGTAAAAATTTGCTTTTATTTGTCTTTATTCTTTTGGGGACATTTCAGGTTTTGGTTGAGTGGAAAGACAGGTGCAAACAAGAGGAGTTTTGTTGAAAACCAATGGCCAACGTCATTCTTAATAGACAGAGGCTGAAAACATTCCCCTTGAAAACAGGAACAAGACAAGGATGCCCTTTATCATCACTCGTGTTTTACATTGTGCTAGAAGTTGTAGCTAGAGCAATAAGGCAAGAAAAAGAAATAAAGGGCATCCAGATTGGTAATGAAGAAGTTAAACTGTCCCTGTTTGCAGCTGATATGATACTATACATAGAAAACCCTAAAGACTCCACCAGAAATCTACTAGAACTAATAGAAAGATTCAGCAGAATAGCAGGATACAAGATAAACATACAAAAATCAGTTGGATTCCTATACACCAATAAGGAGAACGATGAAAAGGAAATCAGGAAAACAATACCATTT